TTCGGGGAATACGTGGGCATCTTGAAGGTCATCTTGGCCGTCTTGGAGGCCTCTTGGGCGATCTGTCGGCGATCTTTGGGGGCTCTTGGGCCGTCTCGGGCCGTCGGAAGGCCGAAAAGAAGGAAATGTCAAAATCCGTCAAAAACCGCAGGAAAATCAATGTTTTTGGCCTCTTCTGGCCTTCCTGGAGGCCCTCTTGGGGGCCTCTTGGGCCGTCTTGGGCCAGCTTCGAGCCATCTTCGGCCATCTTGGTGGGTTCCTGGCACGTCTGACGCCGTCGGGAGCCGTCTTGGGGGCCTTTCTGGGCCGACATGGGGCCCTCTTGGGGCGCTTCGGGGCCGTCTTGGAGGCCATCTTGGGCGTCTTGGAGGCCAGCTTGGGCGTGTTGGAGGCCTCTTGGGCCGTCTTGGGGCCCTCTTGGGGCCATCTTGGAGGCCACTTGCGCCGTCATGGGGCCCTCTTGGGGGCCTCTTGGGCGATATTGGGGGCCTCTTGGGCCGTCTTGAGCCGTCGGAATGCCGAGAAGAAGGAAATTCTAAAATCCTTCAAAAACCTATGGAAAATCATTGATTTTGGCCTCTTCGGACCCTCCTGGAGGCCTATTGGAGGCCTCTTGGGCCGTCTGGGAGGCCTCTGGGGGGCCTCTTGGGCCGTCTTAGACTCTCTTGGGCCGTCTTGGAGGCCGTCTTGGACCATCTTGGGCGGACTTGGAGGCCATCTTGGGCCATCTTCGCGATTGTTTTAGGATGTCCCGAGCGAAACGGCCGTTTTTGGGGCAGGAAATTGGGGAATTATGCGCCTTCCAGGTGGCCGGCGGGACGGGCCGAAGCCCCAGGGGGAGTTCTTTTCTGGAAAAAAAGCCAAAACCAAAACCGAGAGGATTCAGCACGCCAGGCACCCCTGTGATGAATCAACAGGGGGCGGCGGATCTATGGCCTTCGGCCCATCCCGCCACCGTGCTTGGGTTGTGGTTTGAGGCCCCTTGGACGGTCGTTGAGATTTCGTCGAGGCTTTTCGGGGGCCTCCTGGAGGCAGTTTTGAAGCCCCTGGGGCGCCGTCTTTGGGCCTCGTTTGTGCCTCCTGGGGTCCTGTTGGGGGGCCCCTTTGGCCTTCTGGGGGCCTCTTCGGGTCTCACGGGCGCCTCTTGGCACGGAAGTCTCGGACTTTCGGTTCGTGCTCCCCTTCTTGGGTCCCTCCTTGGGGCCGTCTTGGAGCTCTCTTGGGCAGTCTTTGGTGCCTCTTCGGCCTCTTGGGCCGCCCTGGGGCCCCTGGGGGTGTCTTGGGGCGGTCTCGGGGAGCGCGTGGGACGTCCTCGGGCGTCGAAAGCTCGAAATCTCAGAACCCCACAAAGGTATGGGAACACCATCGGAAATCAATTATTTTGGCCTCTTGGGGCCCTCGTGGGAAGGCTCTTGGAGGCCGCTTGGGACGTCTTGGGGGCGTGTTCGGCCGTCGTGCGGCCACCTTGGGCATCTTGGAGCGATCGTTCGGCGATTCGGGGCCCTCTCTGGGCCGAGAAGGTCCTGCGGGAACACTTTCCGGAGCCCAGGTTGCACGCGCCGAGCTCCACGAGATTTTTAAGTTTGGGGCCCGGGGCCCTCTGACAGAACCGTCAGGCTTGCGGACTGAGGCGTCAGGCTCCTCACCCGATGTTACCCTCGCCCTGGCCTCGTCTGATGCATCCGCAGACCAGGGAGGAGAGCAGTCACAGCACGGCTTCCTCGCCCCCGGGGGCGGACAGAACCCCCAACAGTGACACGTCGATTAGTGAACTGTCCGTTTTCGGCTCTCGAGAGGGCGCCGCGGCCGTTCTTTTCCAGGCTTGAGCCCGCCAGGTTTGGGCCTCAGGTCGTTTTCACTAAACCGCGTTTTACTAAAGGGAGGCCTGTCCATCCCCGACACCCCCCCCCGTGGCAGGAGCGAGGAGGAGCGCGCCGCCGAGCTCGCCCGGAGGGCGTCCGAGCTGGCCGAGATCCGCCGCGGGCTCGGCCTCGGCGCCCGCCCGTGCGTCCGCGCCGGCTCGCTGCTGGCGCCTTGCGGCGGCAGGTGGGCGGTCGAGGGCGGCGCGTCTCCTCCTCCTCCTCCCTCCTCCTCCTCTCTCCTCCTCCTCCTCTCTCCTCCTCCTCCTCCTCTCCTCCCTCCTCTCTCTCTCTCCTCCTCCTCCTCTCTCCTCCTCCTCCTCCTCCTCTCCTCCTCCTCCTCCCTCCTCTCCCTCTCCTCCTCTTCCTTCTCGTCCTCCTCCTCCTCTCTCCCCCTCCTCTCTCCTCCTCCTCCTCTCCTCCTCCTCCTCCTCCTCTCCTCCTCCTCCTCCTCCTCCTCCTCCTGCTGGCGTCGTGCCCAAACAGCGGGTGCGGCTGGAATCTGGGCCTCCCGGATGGGCTCCGGGCAGGCGGGGTCGGAGGATCGCGCCGCATCGCCGATGCATCGGCGCTGCGGCCCGATGCGGAGCCCGACCTTCTCCACGCCGATGCGTCGCCGACGTCGGCGCTGCATCGCCGATGCAGCACCGATGCATCGCCGATGCATCGCCGATGCATCGGCGACGCGGCGCGAGCCCCCGACCCCACCTGCTCGGGCCCCATCTAGGAGGCCTCTGGTCCCGGGCCTGCTCGCTCCGTGAGCAAAACATCAGGAGGGAAAAACACACAGACACAATTAATCGTCGACTCCCAGGAAAATATGGGAAGATGTGGGAATTGGAGGGAAGACAAGAGCCCAGAAGATATGGGAAAGTGTGGGGAATCTGGTTATTTGTGTGTATTTATTTGTGTGTCCCAGGGCCCCGTTCAAAAAAGGTGGGTGTTGTCAGAGAAGTGCCCCGAGCCCGAGGTGCCCCCAGGATGTGCAGGGAGGCCCCCGCGGCATCCAGAGCAGCCCCGACGAGGCCAGAGAGAGCCCCCTCCAACAAGATGGTACGGAAAGTTGGGGGTTACCTTGGGCCAGGGGCACCTGCAGCCCCCCCCGATAGAAGCATGACGGCTTTGGCTGCTGACGCCCAGTGCATATGACGCCCAGGGCATCGCGCGCAGGAGCGTTGGCGCAAATCGTGCTCTTCACCCACACCGTGCCGAAGAACGCTCTGGGAAAGTGTTCGTCATTCGCGGGATTGATATTGTCTATCGAGCGGTAAAGTTTGGGTCGCTCTGTGGGGCTTGTCGCATACACCTAGTCGCCGGGCCCGCCAAGGAGCCAAGGAATCTGGCGAAGGAGTTCGGTGTATATGCGACCCCGCGGTCCGCAGCCTGGGAAGTTTGGGCGTGTATGCGTATATGCACCGAGCTCCTTCACCGATCAGACGATACAATGTATACGTCGAGCCCCTCCGAGTCGCCCCGTCCCCCTTTCAGCGCCGCCCGGTGTCGACGAGGAAGTGAGGGAGGCAGGTGGAGGGATCGGCCCCTCTGCGCAATCCCTCTGCCCTCTGCGCATGCATCTGTCATCACTTTATGCGCCGTTTCAGCGGCAGATCAGCGATCAGATGCTCAGTCTCATTTTGTGCATGATCAGATGAGCGACGCAACAAAAAACGGGTCGGCCGTCTGCGCCGACACTGGCGCGTGCGCTGCCCGCGTAAGCCCGCGCATAAGCGCCCTCGCTCCGAATGTGGCGGGCCGCGCCGGCGGCCCGCGCAAGCCACCGCGCAAGACCCGTTTTTCATCGTCGCTGAGATGGGGGGAGTGGGGGGTGGGAGAGAAGGAGCCCTTCTCCCCCACGGCAATGGACTTGGCATCGTTCGGGCGTGTGCATTTTGTCTTCGGCGAGGACCATTGAGGAACATGTTGAATGCTGTCAGCAAAATGACCGCACGACACCGAACAATTCACAGGAAATGGACGTCTGATCGACGGCAAAATGGAGGGAGGCAGGAGCACGGCAGCCAGCGCAGAGCTCGGTCGGGTGCCCGACAGGGACCTGTGCACGGCCCCCGACGCCGCCGCGCGGCGGAAAAGGCACACACACACACACAGCTGCCGTGCGCTCCGTGCGTCACCGCCCACCAAACCACCCCAACCCACACCGAAGGCCCCGATTCGCCCTCCGCTCCCAGGGTGCGGGGGGGGGAGGGGGGTCGGGGAGCACTGAGGCAAGACATCCGAAGCCCGTACCCCGCCCCCCCCCCTTGGAATCGGATTCGGGTCTTCGGCTTGGGTCGGGGTGGTCTGGCAGGCAACTAGTCCGTGCGGCGTGCGCGCGGCGGCCCCGCTCCCGGCGCAGGGAGCAGGCGGCTTGCCGCGCGCGCGTGCCGTGGTGGGGTGGCCCTCGGGCGGCTCGCGCAGCGCCGCCCCTGGCAGGATGGGCGGGAGGGCACGGGGAGCGGCAGCGAGCACGCGGACGGGCACGGCGGCCCTGGCGGCGAGGACGAGGACGACGACGACGACGACGACGACGACGACGACGACGGCGACGAGGCGACGGCGGCGGCGACGACGACGACGACGACGAGGCGACGACGACCCGCCAGGCACCAGCGGCGACCGCTCCGGGGGGCCAGGGCCTCCCCGGGGCGCTTTGTGCCGCGCGCGCCCGAGAAGCCGCCGAGATGCCGCCCCCCGCCCTCCTGGAGCGCTGTCGAGCTCCGCGCCGAGGTCCCCCCCCACTGGGAGAAGAGAAAACGCCGTAAACTTAAGCCTTCGGCGCTCCGCGCGAAGAAGAACAAAAACATAACACATACATCGAAGAAGAGAAAAAACATAACTGTACATAACCACATACTTACATCGAAGAAGAACAACAAACATAAACATAAGTGTTTGGCGCTCCGCGCGGATTTCTTGGATCCGCGCTGGGTCCCCCCCAGCGACGCCTCTGGCGCCGGCCCTGGCGTGCTCCGCGCGCCGGGGAGAGGGGAGTTCAGCGCAGATCCAAGAGATCCACGCGGAGTGCCACCAGTCTATGTGTATGCCGTGTTTCTGTTTTTCTGCACCCCCGAGCGCCCCGCGGATGGGCCGCGCAGAGGCCCCCCCCCCCGAGAGGGCGGCGGCCGCGGCGGCGCCTCCGAGGCCACAACGCGCCCGCGCAGCTGGAGCGGCTGCGGGCGCGGCTGGCGGAGGTCCCGCACCCCCCCCCGCGGCGTGTGGCGGGTGGCGCGCCTCGAGCTGCCAGGGCACCGGAGGGCTTCGGGGCGGAGGGGCGCTGGCCATGGCGCGTCGGAAGAGCCAGGGGCTGGGCCAGTCTGAATGCAGGGCCGGAAAGAGCGTCGGTGCACGGAGTTCCGTGCCTTGGAATGGGTACGGAAAGAATGGTCACGGACCGAAGTGGGTACGGAAAGAATGGGTACATATCGAAATGGATACGGAAGGAGTGGGTATTCAAAGAATGGTTACGGATCGAAGTGGGTACGGATTAATGGGTCCTGTTTCGGGCGGCGCGGCTTGTGTCCGTTTGAAACAGAAGGCCGCCTGCCCAACAGCGGCCGTTGTCGGTGTTGGTCAACATTTATTGTTGGGCATCGTACCCATTTCGGGCGTCCAAGTGAGACGCCAACATCATTTTGGACCCCAGGGTCCCCAGAGTCCGGTGCAGGTGAGCGACGCAAACAGACGGGGTCGTCTGCGCCGACATTGGCGCGTGAGCTGCTCGCGTAAGGTCGCGCGTGAGCGCCCTCGTTTCCAATGCAGCGTGCCGCGCCGGTGGCCGGGTAAGCCACCGCGTGCGGTCGCTATGCCATCGCGCGTAAGAGCCGTTTTCGTTCGTCGCGTTTGGTCGCTATGTCATCGCGCGTAAGCCTTTTTTTCGTCGCTCAGGTGGATCGGCAGGACCGCCTTCGTGGCTCCATTCAGTCTCGCAATATGGACCATTGTTTTGACACAGATGATGGTTGTGAATTGCTGTGTTGATGACTGTTTTGCTACTGATTACATTGTTGTTGTTGCTGATACCGCTGCTGTTGCTGATCATGTTGCCGTGTTTGCTTAAGCGATCTGATTGTGAGTTATATAGCGACGTTTAATGATATTCTGCAGGGGGGGGCTCTTGGACGGCCGAGGGCCAGAGCCAGGGCCCGTGCCCCCCGCGAGCTTCTGAGAAGGCCCGGGAGTGGCGTCTCTGAGGCCCCCGGGGGTCCCTGCTGAAAATCCAGCAGTGGCGAAGCGTCCTGGCGTGCCCATAGGCCTACCAAACAATGTTCTAAGAACCTCCCGGCTGGGACTGTCTTGTTTTATCACATCGGGTTCATGTTCTAAGAGCATTGTTCCCTACCTAGGCTCTGCCTAGAAGGGTTCTTACTCTCTGGGCTTAAAGGGGCCGGGCAGTGGAAAGCGCCCCGGGCGGTTCCCCCAGTATCCGCCCCGCGGTTCCCCCAGTCCCCTGGGAGTTTTAGCCTTAGCTTTAGCTTTAGCTTAGCTTTAGCTTCAGCTTAAATTTAGCTTAATTAGCTTTAGCTTAGCTTTAGCTTAGCTTTAGCTTAGCTTTAGCTTAGCTTTAGCTTAGTTTAACGTTAGCTGTACTCTGCATAGCTGTAGCCTAGCTTTAGCTTAGATATAGCTTAGCTTTACCTTAGCATTACCTTAGCTGTTGCTTAGCTGTTGCTTATCTTCAGCTTAGCTTTTGCTTGGTTTTAGCTTAGATAT